AGCAAGCAAAGAGATGAACCTGTTTCATCTAAAGAAGAAACCTTGGCTGATCTACTGAAAAAGGTTGGGGCAAGCTATAATCCAAAGAAGCACTGAGCTCCCACAACAAAAACCCCAAATGTTCCCAAGCCTTCCAAGAAAAGAAAAGCTTCATCCCCAATACCTACTGCCTCTTCAGTACCCAGGGGTAGAGCCACAAGAAGCAGGGTAAGACAAAGTGAAGCTGATCTACAAAAAGCCTTAGAAGAAAGCAAGAAAAAGAAAATGGAGAAGGGAAAGGGAAAGATTGCAGAATCCTGTGAGGTTGTAGAGGAAGAGGAGATGGAACTGGTCCATCAAGAAAGGGGTACAACTGGTTCCTACACCCAAGCCTAAAAGGCCCAAGACTTCCTCCAAGAAGTCTTCTTATGCACCCGTGTCTGCTGAACCCTCATTAGCCAAGAGGACAAGATCTGCAGTGAAAGCTAAATAAACAAAAGTTTCAGATGATGAAGAGTGGAGTGGAGAAGAAAAAGAAAAAGAAGAAGAAGAAAATGAATCTGAGAAGGAACAGGACAAGTTTGCCATCTTTGGCAGAAGGAAGATTTTAAAAGGTAGACTGTTGAGGGACCTGGTGGAACCAGGGATGATGAGACTGGTAGACTCTTTAGCTGCTCAAGGTAAGGACATGGTTCTTCAGATGGATGGCAGGCTAGCCAGAAATGAGCTCATTGAGTTTATGGCCAATGCTGTTGTTAAGGATGGGGTAGTCAGTAGTTTGGTGAAGGGAGTCCCAGTGCAGTTTGATGCTGAGAAACTGGGAGAAATTCTGGACATACCCTCTGAAGGGTTTGATGATTACACTAGGCAAAGGTGGTCATGCCTAGACTCCCTCCCTACTGCTCTTGAAATCACCAAAAGGTTCTATGACTCTAAGGAAGTGAATGAAGCTAGGGCTGTGCAGAAAACTGAGATGAGGCCTGAGCACAAGGTGGTGTTTGAGTTTGTCAACAAGTGCTTATTGCCTAGACAAGAAAGAAGGCACACTGCTAACTACATGGACCTGGTTCTTATGGAGTGCCTTGAGAGAGGAAAGCAAATCAACTGGCCTGCCCTCATTGTCAAATTGCTAGACAGGGTCATAAATGGCTCCAAGGCTCATGCTACTCCATATGGCTTCTTATTGACCACAGTTCTGGACAGGCTAAATGTGCCCTTGAAGAAATGGGAAATGGCCTCGAGCAAGGAACACTTTGGCATCAAAACTCTTCTTGCCTGTGACTATCCAGTCAATGCTATCCCAGTTGAACCTGGTTCATCTCTGAAGACACCCATCAACAGCAAAGTCAGGACTTTGGTTCAGGAATGTGCTGCTAAGGATGCTGAAATTGCTAGACTCAAGGCTCGTGTGGTTGAAGTAGAAACTGAGAGGAATAGTCTTAGAGTTGAGCTTGCCAAAGAAAAGGAGAAGAATGATGGAATTCATCAAAACATGCTGAATCTTCTCCTAACCCTCCAGTTCCTCCAAGCCTTAGGACTCCTAGCCTTTGTCTCCTAAACTTGTCTTGTACCCCCAGTGACCCAGATTAGGGATTTTTCTATTTTTTGCTCATGGTTGAATGTTTTCTTTCTTTTTGTGGATTGTAGGTGGTAACATATCTCTATCAATGACAACTGCTATTTTCTCTTGTTCAATGCTTAATTCTGACCTTGATAATTTAAATATGTTTATTGATTACTGATGATTGCACCATGATTGCACTTGCAGTTGCCCCAATGGCCATGAGTATTTATTAAAATCTGGGATTCACATTGTGTATGCAACTTTTCGATGATGCCAAAAGGGGGAAGAGATATTGTGCTTTACATATTCTGAAATAAGTGATATTTATAACCTAATTAACCTGGTCCTTGATGATAAGTGAATTGTCTAAATTTAGTGTTAATGGTTAAGCTGAGTTCTTACAGGTTTCGATCAGTAAAACACACAGAGTTTATCATCATCAAAAAGGGGAAATTTGTTGGCCCAAGAACAGGTGAAGTTTTGAGGAATGACAAATGAACTCAGTCATGGACCAGGTCCATCTTGTGAAGCATAGTCATGCTCAACCTATACATGTGAGATGCACGTGAAGGAGATAAGCCCTACTGATCAAGCAGCAATATCTCCTGGTCTGATAGAAAAGATTGCATATTGGATAAAGGGAGAAAGTCTCCTTATATGAAGAGAACACAATCCGGCTAAAGATAGTGTTGGAGGTTGAGATCTTCAAGGACTCAACTACGATAGAAGATCAGTAATTGAGTCCCAATCAAACTCTGATTACTAACCCATTAAAAGACAGTGGTTGTTCTCTTTCACATGGCATTACACATACGCAGAAGTTAAACTAAATTGAGAGCAAAAGAGCAAGGCGATTTTGCAAGCAATTTATGTGAGATTTGAGTGTGCACTCCTGAAGCTACTTGAATGAGATAGAAGAACCAATTCCATTGTGTCTTTATTTACTTCTAGTTCAATTGTAGTAGGTGATTTAAACTTGTACCTTTCATCTTTCATAGAAGCAATTGTATTAGGTACTTAGAGTGTTCAAGTTATATGCTAACTTGAAGTTGTCGCAACAGTTGAGGCTGTGTGCTACAACGGGATTAGAGTTAATCCTTAGGTTTACAAAGAGTTTTGTAAATGCTGTTTTGGCTCNTAAGCAAGCAACAAGATGAACCTGGTTCATCTGCTGAGGAGACTCTGGCTGATCTTCTGAAGAAGGTTGGGGCCAGTTATGATCCAAAGAAGCGTAAAGCTTCCACACAAAAGGCTCCAACTGCTTCCAAGCCAACAAAGAAAAGCAAAATGTCATCCCCAAAACCTACTGTACCTTCAGTACCTAAGGGAAGAGCTGCCAGGAGCAGGGTCAAACAAAGTGAAGCAGAATTACAGAAAGCTCTGGAAGAGAGCAGGAAGAAAAAGAGGGAGAAGGGAAAAGCAAAGTTTGTGGAAAGTTCTGAGGTTGCAGAAGAAGAAGAAAAGGAGATGGAACTGGTCCATCAAGAAAGAGAAACAACTGAAGAGGCTCCAACACCCAAACCAAAAAGTTCCAAGACTTCTTCCAAGAAGTCTTCCTCTGTACCTGTACCTGCTGAATCTTCTTTAGCCAAAAGAACTAGGTCTGCTGTGAAGGGTAAACAAAAGAAAATTGTTGAAGAAGATGAAGAGTGGAGTGGTGAAGAAGAAGAGGAGTCTGAGAAAGAACAAGACAGGTTTGCCATCTTTGGCAAAAGAAAAATTTTGAAATGAAGGCTGCTGAAAGACCTGGTTCATCTCTGAAGACACCTGTGAACAGCAAGGTTAGGGCTTTGGTTCAAGAGTGTGGAACTAAGAATGCTGAAATTGCTAGGCTTCAGGCTCGTGTTGCTGAATTGGATGCTGAAAGAGACGGCCTTAGAGCTGAGCTAGCAAAAGTAAAGGAGAAAAGTGATGGGATGCTTCAGAATATGCTCAACCTTCTCCAAACCCAGCCCTCTAGTTCTTCCAAGCCTTAGGTCCTCCAGTTGTTGCCTTCTGAACTAGTCTACTACCCCCCAATGACCCAGATTAGGGACTTTTTTTGTTTTTTTGCTCATGTTTGGAAGTTTTTTCTTTCTTTTTGTGGTTTGTAGGTGGAAACATATCTTATCAATGACAACTGCTGTTTCTCTTGTTCTATGAAGATTTTGTTCTTATTAGTTGAATGTGTTTGTTGATTATTGATGATTTAATCCATGTTTTCACTTGCAGTGCCCCAGTGGCCATGAGTAATTATAAAACTCTGGGATTCACAATGTATACAACTTTTCGATGATGCCAAAAGGGAGAAGAGATATTGTGCTTTAATCTTTATTCTGAATAATGTGATAATTATAACCTAATTAAACCTGGTCCTTGATGATAAGTTAAAATTATAAGTTAAGTGTTGATGGTTAAGCTGAGTTCTTACAGATTTTTTTTGATCCATAAAAGCACAGAGTTTATCATCATCAAAAAGGGGGAATTTGTTGGCCCAAGTTCAGGTGAAGTTTTGAAGAATGACAAATGAACTCAGTCATGGACCAGGTCCATCATGTGAGGCACAGTATCTATCAACCTAGACATGTGAGATACACGTGAAGGAGATAAGTCTTAGTGATCAAGCAGCAATATCTCCTGAACTAATCGAAAAGGTTGCATATTGGATGAGGAGTGAAAGTCTTCTCATGGGAAGAGGACACAATCCGGATAAAGGATAGGGTTGGAGTTTGTATTGTTCAAGGACTCAACTCCGATGGAAGATCAGCAATTGAGTCTCAATCAAACTCTGATTACTAACTCATTAAATAACAGTGATTGTTCTCTTTTACAGGTATTGCATAAACTCAGAAGTTAAACTAAATTGAGAGCAAAAGAGTGAGGCAATTTTGCAAGCAATTTATGTGAGATTCAAGTGATTCATGAAGCTACTTGGACAAGATAGAAGAACCAATTCCATTGTGTCTTTCTTTTATTTTAGTTCAATTGTAGTAGGTGTTTTAAAGTTGTACCTTTCTAGCTTTCATAGAAGCAATTGTATTAGGTACTTTGAGTATTCAAGTTAGAGTTAACTTGAAGGTGTCGCAACAGTTGAGGCTGTGTGCTACACTGGAATTAAAGTTTAATCCTTAGGTTTACAAGAGTTTTGTAAATGCTGTTTTGGCTCAGTGAGTTTAGTGGAAGTTTGGGAAAATCCTACTGAGTATAGGTCGTGGTTTTTTCACCTTTTGAGCCAGGTGTTTTCCACTTAAAAATCTCTGTGTTCTTTATTTTATGTACTTATTATTCCGCAAGAGTAGTAGTTAGTACACCTAGAAGAACCAAGTTCTTCTAGAGCAAAAATTGGGTACCACACAAATCACCCCCCCCCCCCCTCTTGTGTGGTATTGACGTTAAGAACCTCACATTTGTTTATGCAAAATGCTCAGTAATTGAGAGGTTGGAATTGTGGGATCACTTGTATTACTTAGCAAGTGATATGAAATTGCCATGGTTGGTAGGAGGGGATTTCAATGTGATATTACATGAAGATGAGAAAATTGGAGGACTACCGGTACACCCGCCTGAATATGAGGATTTTGCATTTTTGTGTAAATTCTTGTGGTTTGTTCGAGCAAGGATACAAAGGAAGTCCATTTACATGGTGGAATGGGAGGCTGCGTGTATATTCAAAAGATTGGATAGGATATTTGTGAATTTTCCATTTCAGAACATGTTGCCATCTATTGAGGTTGAACATCTAATCAGAACTGGATCAGATCATGCACCATTGTTAATGACATGTGGGGAGCAGACCCCCAATTTTGTCAAGCCTTTCAGGTTCTTGAACTTTTGGACTAAACTAACTACATTTATGGATGTGGTGAGGAATAATTGGGAAGCTTATTTCATAGGGGATCCGTTTTTGATGTTCAAGAAGAAGCTCAAGAGGGTGAAGGCAGCACTGTCAAAATGGAGTAGGGAAATATTTGGTGATATCTTCAAGCAACTGGCTATTTTGGAGGACATTGTTAGGGTAAAAGAGATGTTGTTTGAAGAAGAGCCTTCGATTAAAAACAGGATTGTGCTTCAAATGGCACAATCTGAATTGAAAAAATACTTGAGTATTGAGGAGCAGTATTGGAAGCAAAAAGCTGGGATGACTTGGTTTGCTGAAGGAGATAGGAATACAAGTTTCTTTCACAATCATATCAATGGCAAAAGAAAGAAATTACAACTGAAGAGGATCAAAAGTGGAAGTGGGGTATGGATTGAAGACCAGGAGCAATTGGCTACAGCTGCAGTGGACTTTTATCAAGAACAGTTCACAAATGAAGGTGATGCATCTGACTTTTCCTTGCTCAATAATGTACCTTCAATGGTCACTATGGAATAGAATTTAGAACTTAGTGGATTGCCAACAATTGAAGAGGTAAGGACAACAATTTTTGAGCTTAGTGGGGAGAGTGCTAGTGGTCCAGATGGATTCACTGGCCTATTTTATCAAACATGTTAGGATGTTATTGGGGCTGATATACACAACATGGTGCTACACTTCGATGGAGGAGCTGCACTTCCTAAATCCATCACTCATACCAATCTAGTCTTGCTGCCTAAGAAACCTAGAGTTGAGACCTTTTCTGACTTAAGACCTATTAGCTTGAGCAACTTCATTAACAAGGTCTTGTCTAGAGTTACATGATAGATTGGAAATTTTTTTGCCTTCTCTAATATCTCCTAATCAATCCGGATTTGTGAAGGGTAGGAATATATTTGTGAACATCTTATTGACTCAAGAAATTGTCACTGACATAAGGTTAAGGGGAAAGCCAGCTAATGTGGTGATAAAGCTTGATATGGCTAAAGCTTATGATAGGGTTTCATGGAAGTACTTATTGCATGTACTAAGGAAGATGGGATTTTCTGAGCACTTCATCAACATGGTGTGAAACTTGATGTCAAATAGCTGGTATTCAATATTGGTGCAGTCATCAAGGTTCTTTAAGTCTATAAAGGGTGTGAAGCAAGGGGATCCTCTATCACCAGCATTGTTCATTCTGTCAGCTGAGGTACTTTCCAGATCTTTGAATAAGCTATTTGAAGACAGGTCATTTGTGGGATTTGGAATGCCTAAGTGGTCTGATCCTTTAAACCACTTGGCATATGCTGATGATACTATAATCTTTGCTTCTCCTCATCCTCCATCCTTGAGCAAGATTATGGTGGTGTTGGGGAACAATGAGAAAATATCAGGCCAGATGATCAACAAAGATAAGAGTTCATACTACATGCATTCCAGGATTTCTAATGGATTGTGTCAGGCAGTTGGAGCTATTACAGGATTTGCTAAAGGTAAATTCCCCTTCACATATCTATGGTGTCCTGTTTTCTACACTAGAAGGAGGAAGGAATATTACGAAGATATTATCAAGAAAGTAAACGCTAAATTGCATTCATGGTAAGGAAAGTTGCTGTCATTTGGAGGAAAGGCAACACTCATTAATAGTGTGTTGCAAAGTATGCCAGTCCACATGTTATCAGTCCTGCATCCTCCAAAAAAATGTCCTGGAGCATCTTCTTAAGATTTTTACTAGATTCTTTTGGAGTACAAAGGAAGAAGGGAGAAGCAGACATTGGGCCTCATGGCAAAATCTTTGCCTTCCTAAAGAGGAAGGAGGCCTAGGTTTTAGGTCCTTACATGATGTGTCGAGGGCATTGTTTGCTAAACCATGGTGGAGGTTTAGGACCACAAAATCTTTGTGGGTTAATTTCATGTGGAATAAGTATTGCAAGAAGGAGATACCAACGGTGGTGCAGTTTAGAAGGGGGTCTAATGTTTGGAGAAAAATGCTGAATGCTAGGGAAGAAGTAGAACATGAGATCCTATGGGAATTGAAGAGTGGAAAAACTAATATTTGGCATGAAAATTGGACTAGATTGGGTGCACTTTATCATGTATTACCTGAGGACTTTCCAATCAATGAAGATCTTCAGGACGTGGCAGAATTACGGCAAGGTGAAACATGGGATGATCAGTTGCTAGATCAAACCTTCAATGAGGAAATTGCAGAACATATAAGGCTAAATGTACATTATGAAGGCAGTGAGGGATACTGGGATAGGCCATACTGGATGCCAACTCCTTCAGGCAAGTTCAGTGTTAGCAGTGCTTGGCAAATATTAAGGCATAGAGCTGATCCTAATCAGGAATTCAAGTTAATGTGGATTAAAGGCTTACCATTTAAGATATCCTTCTTCTTGTGGAGATTGTGGAGGAAGAAAATAGCTACTGATGACATATGGAGGAGGCAAGGGCAAATGGTGATGTCTAGGTGTTGGTGTTGTCAGCAGCCCCAAGAGGAATCTATTGAGCATATATTTATCACAAGTCCTACTACCTCTAAAGTATGGAACTTGTTCATGGAGGCTGCTGGAATTACTGTGCCACTGATTCAATTGAAGCAGGTTATAAGGCATTGGTGGTATGCTCAATGTTGTCCAAAGCTAAAGCCATTGTTTCAAGCAGTACCGACTATCATCACTTGGGAACTTTGGAAGAGAAGAAATGCAGGTAAACATGGGGGTTCAGTGTCGACAAATAGGGTGATTCATGAGATCAATAGGACATTGCATCAACTGGCGAGGGTGAGGTATGCTTGGATGCCTAATATTCCATTGTTATGGCTAGACATAATTCAATATTTTGAAGGATATAAACCTATATTGATCACTACAAGAGTAACATGGAAGTGTCCTTTTCATGGTTGGTACAAATGCAATACTGATGGAGCCTCAAAAGGAAATCATAGCCCTAGCTCATTAGGATTTTGTGTGAGGAATGATGAAGGTGATGTGGTGTATGCAAGGCAGTAGACCTGGGAGTGACAACTAATGTGGTGGCTGAAGCTAAGGCTATTCTTCAAGGATTGGAATACTGTGTGGAGCATGATCTTCACCCTCTCATATTGGAGACTGATTCATTAGTGATGAAGAAAGTGATAGAAGGGGAATGGAATCCTCCTTGGGTAATTGCAAATGATGTGAAGAAAATTAGAGAGATGAAGGACAACTTCAATGTGATCTTTCAACATGTGTTCGGAGAAGGCAACTCAGTGGCGGATTTTATAGCTAACATTGTTTTCTCTTTTGCAGGTACATCTGAGTTTCACTCATTCTCTAAACTGCCTAGTGCAGGGAGGAGGTTGATTAATTTAGACAAGTCTCAAACTCCTAACCTTAAGGTTAGAATAGCAAAAAGAAGAGCCCCGGACTGATGGCTTCACAAGATTGGAATCTGCATATACTTGCTTGTTTCTTTTATGTCTCGTTCTGTATGCTATTAAGGTACTTTTCAGTGGTATTAGCATGGTCACATGCTCATTCTGGGGGTGCTTTGATAGTGTACAAGACCAATGGGATAAGCAGGTATTGGATGGTGCAATTTATTCTATTTCTAATATGTTCAAATGTTAAGGAAAAGGTTGAATCTGTTATGTGGAACTTCTGGAGATTGTTGAATCATTTCTCAGTGGTATTAGCATGTCTTCATGCTCAATCTGAGGATGGTTTAGCAATGTTTAGAATGATTTCTATATTAAAGGTTCGGGAAGAGAAGGGTCTGAGCTTACTGTCACGATCCGGATTTCCCACCCTCGGGAGTGATGATGGCGCCTACTATTAGGAGCTAGGCAAGCCAATTATTTATTACCTCTTTTAGCAAGCCTCGACATTAATTAAACAACGAAACATTTAATAGAAAAGCGGAAGTCTTAAATTAAATAAACTGATAGCAATGCGGAAGTCCAATACAACTCTACCCAGGAACTGGAGTCACGAACTCACGAACGTCTAGAGAATGCTAAATACAATGTCTGAATAAAAATATAATTATGTTTGTTCTGGTACAAAGGATAACAAACTAAGGTAAAGATACAAGAGACTCCGGGCCATGTGGACGCCAGCAAGGCTACCTCGGGATCTCTGGACTGAGGTCAGCTCCCAAAACTCCTACTGCTGTCCAAAGGCTGCTCCGGCTCCGTGATCTGTGCAAAAAGATGCACAGAGTGTAGCATCAGCACAACCGACCCCATGTGCTGGTAAGTGCCTGGCCTAACCCCGGCGAAGTAGTGACGAGGCTAGACAGGACTACCAAAACCAAGCTGTGCAGATCAATATATATATATATATATATGCAATAGAAGAGAATACAGAAATTTAACAAGTCAAGAGGGAGGGGAGCATACTATAGGGAAGGCAACAATCCGGATAACAAAAAAAAAATCAACAAATAGAAGATGAAACTGTACAACTGCAATATCAACGAGGGTAGAAATTCAACAATTTGCACGGCACCATCCTTCGTGCTACCCTCGTTTTCACCCAAACAATCAAATAAAGTGCACGGCATCAACCTTCGTGCTTTTCCTCACATAAACACTCATATCATGGAACGGAATGACCCTTCGTGCATTAGTAATCAAAACATGGCACGGAATGTTCCTTCGTGCATTAGTAATCAAAACATGGCACGGAATGTTCCTTCGTGCATTAATAATCAAAACATGGCACGGAATGTTCCTTCGTGCATTAATAATCAAAACATGGCACGGAATGTTCCTTCGTGCATTAATAATTAAAACATGGCACGGAATGTTCCTTCGTGCATTAATAATCAAAACATGGCACGGAATGTTCCTTCGTGCATTAATAATTAAAACATGGCACGGAATGTTCCTTCGTGCATTAATAATCAAAACATGACACGGAATGTTCCTTCGTGCATTAATAATCAAAACATGGCACGGAATGTTCCTTCGTGCATTAACATATTCTCAACACAAATCGTGCACGACATCAACCTTCGTGCTTTATCACTCTTCCTCACCCAAGCAACAATCACAACCAGTGGGGCGAGGGGATAGACAAACAGTAATAGAAGTCCCGGCAAGGGAAAACACAAGTAAACAGTTAAATCCCAGCAAGGAAACAACAACAATGACTATCACATCTCGGCAAGGGAAAACAACAACAATGACTTTCACATCCCGGTTAGGGAGGTAATCAATATACGAATACAGCCCGGCAAGGGAATAATCACATTTCTTTCTCTTTCTTTCATTTCTTACTCAATAATTACTTTATCGTTCAAGCCACGCTCCAAAGAGTTCACAAATCATAATTCTTTCTCATACTTTTCACATTATACGGAAATCATAAATTACACAAGGAAGTCTCACAATAAAATTAGAATAAGCACAAATAAGGACTCACGGTCATGATAGACACCAATGTATAGATACTCGTCACCATGCCTATACACCGTACTCGACAATTTGCAATTAGCAAACGATACTCTAATCATATTCCCTCAAGCCAGAGTTAGATCAAACACTTACCTCAACTTCCACGGCTAAATAAATCCACAACGACCGCCTTTCCTTTCGAATTCGGCTCCAACTCAATCAAATCTATGAAATAACGACTTTATAATATCAATAATAGCTAAACAAATCAAACTCAATGCCTAAATATAGGTTCCCAACCTTTCTTCCAAAAATTCCAAAATCGACCCCGGGCCCGCCTGGTCAAACCTCGAGGTTCGAACCAATTCCATATCACCCTTTCCCCCACGAGCCCGAATATACAATTTGTTTTCACATTCGACCCCAAAACGAGGTCTAAATCAAAGAAAATCGAAAAGCCCTAACTCTACCCAATTCCCCAAATTTCAACCCTAGATTACATGTTTTAGGCCTAGGATTTCAATGGATGATGATAGAAAATGGAGAAAACGAGTTAGATAATACTTACCCAAGAAGATTTGGTGAAGAATCGCTCTACAAGTCGCCTAGGGGCTGTGGAGAAGAAGAGCTCGTGTGAATTTTTGAGTAAAACCCGTCACTGTTCTGTTTTTAGGCTTTTAAATTAACTGGACAAAAATGCCCTCTGCGTTCGCGACACAGGGGTCGCGTTCGCGAAGCAGGGGGAATTGGAAGCATCGCGTTCGCGATAGGGGTCTGCGAACGCGTAGAGTTAATTACTGGGGTCCTAGATTTTGGCTTATGCGAAAGCGTGAATGAATACGCGAACGCGTTGAAGGGGGGGCTGGCACTACGCGAACGCGTGAAATTGAACGCGAACGAGAAGAAGGGGATACCACAGGCAGTGCGAACGCGAGCTGAAGGCTGCGATCGCGAAGAAGAAAAAGCCTGTGCAAAAATTGCAGAAAATCTGATACTTTTCCTAAGTTCAAAACATCCCGAAACACCTCCGAAACACTCCCGAGCCCTCGGGGCTCCTAACCAAACACATACACTAACTCAACAACATCCTACAAACTTAGCCGTGCGATCAAATCGCCAAAATAACATCAAAAACAATGAATTAAACCTCAAAATCATCACTTTTTCATCAAACTTCATAAACTATCATTTTTAGAGATTTAGGTCCGAAACACGTCAAATGACGTCCGCTTTCAACCAAATTTCACAGAAAGCGCTTAAACCACATGTAAGACCTGTACCGGGCGCCGGAACCAAAATACGGGCCCGATACCAACACGTTCTAATCAATTTCCTTTTTCAAATTTCCATATTAATTTCAGAAAAACAATTTTACAGAAAAATTCATTACTCGGGCTCTAGACCTCAGAATTCGACTCCGGGCATATGCTCGAGTCCTATATTTTTCTACGGACCCTCCGGGACCGTCAAATCACGGGTCCGGGTCCGTTTACCCAAAATGTTGACCGAAGTCAACTATATTCATATTAATATCAAAATTTAGCATTTTTCACACGGAGTTCATATTTAAGCTTTCCGGCTACGCGCCCGGACTGCGCATGCAAATCGAGGCTACTAAAAATGAGGTTTTCAAGGCCTCGGAAGCGCGGAAAAGAGAGAAAACAGGTGAGGACCCTTTGGGTCGTCACATTCTCCACCTCTAAAACAACCGTTCGTCCTTGAACGGAACAAAGAAAGAAGTACCTGAGTCGGGGAAAAGATGAGGATAACGGCTCCGCATATCAGACTCGGACTCCCAGGTCGATGCCTCAGGAGGCTGACCTCTCCACTGAACATGCACTGAAGGAAAACTCTTCGACCTCAACTGTCGAACCTGCCGGTCTAGGATAGCTACTGGCTCCTCCTCATAAGACAGATCCTTTCTTCCCAAATCTCATCACGCCCTTCATAGGCGACACTCGGAGCAAGACCCGCTCACCAACCATTAAAGCTACATCCCGAACCTTACGATCTGCATAACTCTTTTGCTGCGACTGAGCCGAACGAAGCCTGTCCTGAATGATCTTGACCTTATCCAAGGCCTCTTAAACTAAATTTGTACCCAACAACCGAGCCTCTCCCGGCTCAAACCATCAAATCGGAGACCGACACCGCCTACCATATAAAGCTTCATAAGAAGCCATCTGGACGCTCGACTGGTAGCTGTTGTTGTAGGTAAACTCCGCTAAAGGCAAGAATTGATCCCACGAACCTCCAAAGTCAATAACACAAGCTCGGAGCATGTCCCCCATATCTGAATAGTCCGCTCAGACTGTCCGTCCGTCTGAGGATGGAATGTTGTGCTCAACTCAACCTGGGTGCCCAAAGCCCGCTGAACCGCTCTCCAGAAGCGCGAGGTAAACTGCGTACCCCGGTCCGAAATGATAGATACTGGCACCCCATGAAGGCGAACAATCTCTCTGATGTAGATCTCAGCTGACCTCTCGAATGAATAAGAGACTGCTACAGGAATGAAATGTGTTGACTTGGTCAGTCTATCAGCATTAACCCATATCGCATCGAACCTCTTCCGAGTCAACGGGAGTCCGGTAACGAAATCCATGGTAGTCCTCTCCCACTTCCACTCGGGAAGCTCAATCCTCTAAAACAGTCCACCAGGCCTCTGATGCTCGTACTTAACCTGCTGACAGTTCAAACATCGATCCACATATGCAACAATATCTTTCTTCATTCTGCGCCACCAATAGTGCTGCCTCAGATCCTGATACATCTTCGCGGCGCCCAGGTTAATAGAATACTGGGAGCTATGGGCCTCCGCAAAGATCAACTCTCGAATCCCATCAACATTGGGCACACAAACTCGCCCCTGCAGTCTCAAGACACCATCATCATCTAAGGTCACCTTCTTGGCACCTTCAAGCTGCACCGTGTCTCTCAGGACACACAAATGGGGATCATCAAAATGCCGATCACGGATACTCTCCAATAATGAAGAACGAGCAACCGTGCAAGCTAACACTCGGCTAGGCTCAGAGATATCGAACCTCACAAATCGATTGGCCAAAGCCTGAACATCCAAAGCAAGCGGCCTCTGGCTTGCCGGAATATAAGCAAGACTTCCCATGCTGGCAGACTTCCTACTCAATGCATCGGCCACCACATTGGCCTTCCCCGGGTGATACAAAATAGTAACATCATAATCTTTCAATAACTCCAACCATCTCCTCTGCCTCAAGTTCAACTCCTTTTGCTTGAACAAGTACTGAAGACTCTTGTGATCAGTGTACACCTCACAC